AATGATAAAATCTCTCAAAAATTTAAAAGTCAGCATTGTGTGACACTAAAACAGCATGTCCGTTTGTTTGGATAATGTGTGGATAATGTGTACTATATCTGACTCTGAATTATCCTCAACACTCTCCACACATTATCCATACACATTATCCATACACATTATCCATACACAATATTCACACACAATATCCAGACACAATATTCACACGTTATCCACACACAATATTCACACACATTATCCACGCAGATTATCCGCACACATTATCCACACACATTATCCAAACATTTTATCCACACATTATCTAAACATTATCCACACATTATCCATGCATAATCCACACATTATGCACACACAACATTCATGAATCATGCACCATACACATACATTATCCACACATTATCCAAACCTGATCCACACAGTATTCACACATTATCCACACATTATTGACACTTGTTATCCACACGCTACTCTCCCCCTCCCCCCCCCACCCACCCGCACACACACACACATACACATGCACACCTGCGCACACACGCACGCATGCTTTTTCTTTGTAGAGTTGTGTTAAATCAAAGATGAAACACACACACACACACACACACACACACACACACACACACACACACACACACGCACACCCTCCGGATGAGTCGGTGAAAGTCCAACGAAACAGTCTCTCTGGCACAGTCATGCTTGTTTTGAGGGTATCGCGAATATGACGACACACATACACTCACTGTCAGTGATGATCAGGAAGTATGTTGAGAGCTCGAACTGCGTCCGAAGTCAAGCAAAATGCTGTTTCTTTTTTTTTTTTAAGGTTGAAGGAGTAGGGTTGTTATATTACTGATTTTTTAAAACTTTGTGAAAGGCATTTTCACGTTGCAGACCCCAAATTCGAGTTTCAGGGGAAAAAAAAGGGGTGCCGAAGTCAAACGAAGGCCTTTTTCTGTTTCGGCCTGCTCGGCCTTTTTTTGACTTAGGGACCTTTTTTGACCCTGAAACTCGACTTTGGGGTCTGCAACGTGAAAATTCGACTGGTACCCAGCCTCAAAGTCAAGTCCCACAGTAAAAAATGCAGCAGCGCACAGGGTTCCACATGGTGCAGTGCTGTGGATCCTCTTGCGGTGCGCTTCTGTGCGCCCCCTGAGAGGGTTCCACACGGTGCAGTGCAGTGCAGTGCAGTGGACCTTTTTTGACCCTGAAACTCGAATTTGGGGTCTGCAACGTGAAAATTCGACTGCTGCATTTTTGACTGTGGGACTTGACTTTGAGGCTGGGTACAGTCAAAAAAAGGCCGAGCAGGCCGAAACAGAAAAAGGTGGTGTTGCGTGCCCAGCTCAGTGGGCGTACTATTCTTTCGCCTTTTACTAAAGAATACCGTGGGCTGAGCACACGTAAGCAGCTTACGTGAATTTTTCACCGGCCTTCCAGACTAGTTAAAAAAAAAAAAAAAAAAAAAAAAAAAAGGTGCTGTTGGGTACCTCTCCGGCCACTAAGGTCAAAATTCGACTGGTACCCAGCCTCAAAGTCAAGTCCCACAGTCAAAAATGCAGCAGCCCGCCAAGAAGAGTCTGGAAGGTACCGGGCCTCACTATTCCAAAAGAAAACGGGCTGCGGGCGACTGGTACCAGTCAAAGTCAGACCCATAACCAGTCAAGCAGAGGCCGAGTGAAGCAAATGCCCAGTCCAAGTCAATAAGAAGGCTGGCTCAGCCTCATTCGGGCGGATTGCTCGTTCGCCACAAGGTGGAAGTGCTGCTGAGCGCTTGTGCGGTATTGCGTGTTGACCAAGCGCTAGGAGCCCTGGCGTGGCAGCACTATGCTGTGGAAGACAGGCGGCCATAGCTGCTGAGTAGCAGCAGTGGTAGAGTGTGAGTGGAAGGCGGATGTATCCAGGGTTATGGTCCTCATAG